AAGCAAATTGGGGCCCCCCTGGTGCTGATTCCCAGGTGGGTGGGTTTGTGTATGTTCTAGGACCCTGTGAGTCTCTTCAATGAACTCTCCTGTGAGACTGGCAGTTTCTCCCACTACTGCAATTCCCACAGGTTTTTACAGCCAGAGGTTTTGAGGCTTTATTTTCCTGTGCTGGAACCCTGGGTTGTGTGGTCTGTATCCTTTCCCAGTTGTTCCTTCTGGTTTATCTGCATAAATGTGAGACCATCCTGTCCACCAGCCACCACCTCACCTGCCTAGTTCTTCAGCTGCCGCCTTGCTGTTGTTCCTCTCCACCCCCACTGCCCATCTCCACCCCTCCTACCAGTCTGGATGTATGTTTCTTTAACTCTTTGGTTCTCAGACTTTTATACAGTTTGATTTTCTGGTAGTTCTGGTTGTTTTTGTTTTTAAGTTGGTTGTTATCTTTCTCTTGGTTGTGCGAGGAAGCAAAGAATATCTACCTATACTGCCATCTTGGCTGGAAGCTGTGTGTTCTATTTTAAAGTCAGGAAGTTACCAATAGCTTTCATTGTCATCCATGTTTGAGTTGGAATTGCTGCCCTTCCCCCTGCATTTTGCTAGTCATCATTTGATACTTTGAAATAACTTCTTAAAGTCTTAGAAACTTAATTTTTTTAAAAGTGAGTGAATTTGGCACTTGCCCATCCTATTATTGCCTATAGATTGCCTTTCCCATAAAAGGAAGACAAATCCCCTTCTCAGGTGAAGCCTGGCACTGTTTGGTGGCATTTGCAGTCTCAGTGTTGTTTTTCCCAGAAGTCAGAGGTGTTATTTCTTTGATCACCTACAACTAGCATTGTTGCCTGATGTTCTCTGCTGGTCTTGGAACTTACGTTCTCTAACAGGGAATGGGGTAACTATGAGACAAATTAGAGAGTGAAGTAGATGAGAAAGTTGTAATTTTTTATGCAATATAGGTATTAAGCATGACTGGAGTTAATAATAGTTACTCAGTAAATGTTAGCTATAATGTGCCAAATACTGTGCTAAGTCCGTTATGTAATTTTTATGTTTAATTCCCTTTGAGATAGGCATCATCCCCTTTTCAAAGATAGAACTGAGGCATGGAAATATCAAACAACTTAGCCTAGGTCACGTAGGTGTGAGAATGCTGAAAATCTGAGTAAGTGACTACCACACTTGAAATTCACTTACCAAAAGGCAAAATATACGAGCCGGAAAAGACCCGACAAGGCTTCAAAGATGAGAAAGGATTAAAACTTGATCGTTCAAGAAATTGTTTAAGAGAGAGAAAAAAAAAACTAAACACAGAATGGGCCGTGATAGCCCAATTTGCGGGGAAGGTCACAAGGGAAGGCTGAGTGTGTTCTTACATGTGATGGAACGTTCCTGGGACGGGTCCGAAGGGTCTGGAGGGAATGGTGCCAGGTGTTGCTCTGTGGGTGAGTCCTCAGCTTCCTGGTTCTCCAGGTGACTGAAGGACTCCGCACTGAGCCTGTGTGGGCCCACCCTGTCCATTCCTGATGTGTGACAGTATGCTTTACACACCCACACTCAAATACTGATTGATCACTTCCTCTGTGAAAATAGTTAGAAACAGCGACACACTTACAGAGGATTTAGAACTTCATTGAGTTCCAAAGAGGGGTAGCTTAATTAATCTGATTTTAGGATGTATGATTAGGAAGGATAAATTGTTCCTAATCCTTCCAAAACTGTCACCAAAAAGAGTGGATTTGGATATTTTTGCCAATATGAGCTTACCTCAGAAGAGGAGACAGTGATTGCAAGATCTGAGAGATTTGGCTTGGTAATATTTTCTAGTATGAATTGTTATTTTATTGTCTTAAAATCAAGTTGTGCTCTAAGCACCATGGGCTCTGTACTATTTTGATTTCTCTAAATGTTGATCGTAGTAAGGTAGTTGAAAGACCAAGACCTGTGCAGTGTGCCATTCGTTTCAGCTGCAGTGAGAAGTGAAATCCCAGAGGTTCTCGTCTCAGGCTTTTTACAGTCGTCTTGTTAGACTGCGAGATTAAAGAACTTGATCTCAATTTACAAGTGTGGATTGACATTTCATACCTGGCTCTTCTCCAAAAGTTGATCTCATTTTATCCCTAAACATTAGAAATCAAGCACACCAAAACTGGGTTGACATAATTTGATTTGCCACATTAGCTAAGTCGCAATTAACTGTGTTAAACTTCCATGGTCTGTCTAGTGCAAGTGTTCTGTGTGATAATTCTCTAAGCAAAATCTCACTTCAATTTCTAATTTTTTTAAAAAAGAAAACCAACCTGTTTCTTCTCAGAAAGCTTTAGTTTTGTATATTTAAATTCATGACAATGTCAGTGGTTTTATTTATTTCTGTCTCCCTGTAATGGCTAAAAAAATACTTAGTTTTCCCACAATATCTGTGTGCAGCTTCAGTTGTCAAGTGGCATTTTGCTGAAATTGAAAAATATAGAACAAAACAGCAAGCTAGGGTTTAAAAATTACAACTTGCTTCTGCAGCTGTTGTTTAAATCAAAAACTACCAGCAAATCCTTTCCCATCAGTTATACTAAATTTGTAACAGTCTGTATTGCACGGAGCTGTTGGAAGTCTCTGGGGATAAAGAAAGAGTAAGCCTAACATAGAGGGAAGTGATTAAAGTTGCAATATCCCCTTTTATGAATGAAAAGAAAATATAGACATCCCTTCTGGACCTAATCTAAGACTTTATAGGAAGGAGGAATACAATTGTGCAAATTTAATGGGAAACAAAGGGTTCAATTATTTTAGTTTTACCATGCAGAAATTTTACTGGCATTCTGGGAAATTCTTATTTTTACTCATCACTATTGTTAAAATCCACACTTGAATGAGTTTGAAGATGCATAGAAAGTTGTTTCATGTTTCTTCCCCCCTCCTTTTTTTGTTTTGTTTTAGAGGTTTAGCAGGTATTTGCCCATGTGGTATGACGATTTTAAATTATTCAGCTTATTTTAATTATTAAAATAATACATGGTGGTTTTAACAAGTGAAATAGCCTCATTCCCTTAAGATAACTTTGGTTAGCAGCCTGGGCTATAGTTTTATGCTATTGCTTTAAAAAATAACATTTGGGGTAAAGGCCATAATTTTGTGCTTTAAAATTTGTGTTCTGATGTGATTTATAAAATATTCCCCTCAAATGAGAGTGAAGGATATATTTCATATGTTCCCAAATAAATAAAAAAATGTATTGTCTCTCCCTAACAAAAAAAAAAAAACCCCAAACAAATCTAAGTTTTTATTTTTCTTAATTTTTGTTTGTCTTGCATATGATTATGTGCCTTCTGGTAGGGTTTCCTCCAGATAGAAAAAGGACCTGCTGAGGGGAATTGAGCATGTAAATGCAGCAGTTCTGTGATTGTCCATTCTTCAGTGCCTGTCTCCTTTTCCAGTTTAATGTCGCACCTGTGGTTATGGATGTGCCAGCTGCTCTGTGAAGGGGGGTCCTGGCTCCTCCTGGCTTTAGGAGCAGCATTGGCTAAGGCCCTTTCTTTTTTAAAGAAGATTTTATTTGTTTTTAGGAAGGGAGAAAGAGAGGGGGAAAATTCGATGTGCAAGAGATATTGCCTCCAGGGATCTGGTTCATAACCCAGGCATGTGCCCTGACCGGGAATTGAACCAGCGACCTTTTGGTTTGCTGGGCAGCATTCAACCCACTGAGCCACACCAGTCAGGGCAAGGCCCTTTCTTGAGATTATCACATATGTACTTGCTCCAAGGTTGAAATTCTGTGTGCTGGTGATTTGTTTCACTTTCTGTAATCATTGGTCTGTTATCTTAAGGTGCTGAGAAAAAACTGGTTGTAAGGTCCAACTTTCTAAGTGGAAGACATATTTTCTTGTTTTTTCTCAACAAGATAAATTGAGATAGGGGTTGATGCCAGCTCCCTCTCCAGGGCACTGAGAGGATGGAGGGTGATTTGAAAGAGAGACTAAGGGGAAGGGACTAGTCAAAGAACATGGGCGAATGACCCACAGACATGGACAACGGTGTGGGGATAGACTGTGGGGGAGGAGGGGCAGGCTGGGCAGAGGAGGGTGAAGGGGGAAAATTGGGACAGCTGTAATAGAATAATAATAAACAAACCTAAAAACAAACAAACAAACAAAGACTAGAGCTCCGACAGACACCCTGGTCCTGGGATTTGCCAGAGAGCCTTCTCCCCGGGCTAATGGATTTGACAGGGAAGAGTCCGCAATGCTCACCCTGGTCTGTGGAGCTGTGGGTGCCGGCAGCTGTCTTGGGGTGGTGGGCTGCAAAGCCTGAGTAGGAAAGAGACTCACAGAAAGTATGTGCAGCTCCTGGGAGGAAGGTAGAAAACAATATCTTGCATCATTTATAGAGAGAACTTTATTTAAAAACGTGATGGAAATTGTTGATAAGAATTAGTATTGGAGGAATTTTGTTTCAAAACAAACTTTTTTAAAAAACCCAAGTTTAATTCTTGACATAGACATTGCTTTAAACTTTTGGTAGGTAAAGCAACTCCCTCGATATGTAATAGTATTCCTTTGAAATCTGTTGTGAGAAATACCTGTTTTTAAAAAAAGCAAATTAGGATCTCAATATGATAGGCAAGTTCATGTGGATACAGGAGCACCGTGAGATTTCATTTGTCTTCCTAAAGTGTTTGCAGTTATTTCAGATAACCCAAGGCTTCTCCTAATGGCATATAAGGATAAAGACAGATCCACAGAAAACTGACAAGTATTTATTTTAGACACTGGTTATGAAGACCTTCCTAGCCTGTTCTGTTCAAGCTGTCTGCAAGAACCAAAATTAATTTAAATGTAACTTTTCTACCCTGCACTTTTTGCTCAGTTCTTTCATATGAGCCAATGGCTTTAAAGTGGTAATAAGAAAGATAAAACAGGGGAGACTGAATTCAAACAACCACTGAAAGATGTTTAAGTCATGGAAGGAATGATAAATTCATGGGTGTTGTCTCTTCTTTTACTTAGGATATTCCTGCCGGTTGGTATCACAGAATATGGCCCTTATCCTATTGAAGGAAGATTCTTTGGATGTAAGTAGTTTTTTAAAAGTTGCATTTGATGTAATGAAAGTCTTTGTTTTTTCCCACTATGACTGATTATCAGGGTTTATTTTTTTACTAAACTGTTGTAAAACTATGTGTTTCTGTATTGATGAATGATCTTGAAAGTAAAGATAATATTCAAGTGCCAGGAGTTGCTTAAATTTATATAGCAATAGGCACATTTGCAATAATTATTCCCTGACATCCATTGCCACCAGCTCATACAGACTTGCATGGCATGGTTCTCTGAGAAATTTAGACCTGTACCCATCCCAGCAAGGCCTAGAGCCACTGATGAGACCAGGGGGAGGAGCCGTTTAGGGGGTGACCAGTGATCTGGGGAGTAGTTTAATATGAAGATTTGAGCTAAACAATGAAAGTTATTTGTCAGGACTTTTAACAAGGGCTTGTTACTGGCAGGCACCCACCACACAATTCTAGTTAGAATGTTTAAATGGCAGTGCTAGGCACAGATGAGAAGACAGGGTTAGTTACCATTTTAAATGCAGGAGTATAATATGGAGATTTCTGAAGCTGCATATCGGGGAGGCCATGGATCTGCCAGGAATGCAAAGGCAGGAGTCAGGGAGAGTCTGTGTGCCTTCAGGGCACCACTGGCTAGATATCCCCACTCTGGCTTGAGGCTTCAGGATTTATCTCAATGTGCGGCTTTTCCTTTTGAGTCTCTGCCAGCAGGAAGCCCAGAACTCTCAGGTCATCCCTCCTCTCCTGGATTCTGATGCTCCTGTGCTCTGGGCTCCTGCAGAAACTTCCTCTTCCCAGTGTTCCCATCGCCCCAGCACTCCCTACCCCCCGTGCCTTCATTTTTCTCTACAGAACTTTTCATCTTTGGAACTAATGTGTATTATTAACATATAATTATATATCAAATATATAATAATTGTAATAATATTATATATTATAATGTAATAGAGGATTATAAAAAGGTACCATAAGATTTACCCTCTTACCCATTTTTAAGTGTATAGTTCAGTGGTTTTAAATATGTTCATATTGCACAGCCATCACTGCCATCCATCTCCAGAACTCTTTGCATCTTACAAAACTCTGCACCCCTGAAACAACCTCCCCACTTCCTACCCCCAGATTCCTGGTAACCATCACTGTACTTTCTGTCTCGATGAGTCTGACTGTTCTGGTATATCATATAAGTGAAATCATCTAGCATTTGTCTTTCTGTGACTGGCTTCATTCACTTGGCAAAATGTCCTCAAGGTTCATCCATGTTGAAGAATGTGTCAGAATTTGCTTTTTTTTTTTTTTAAGGCTGAATAATCATCCACTGTATGTATGTGCCACATTTTTTAATCCATTTATTTGTCTGTGGACACTTGGGTTGCTTCTGCCTTTGGCTATTGTGAATAATGTTGCTCTGAAGATGGGTGACAAATGTCTTTTTGAGACCCTTCAATTTTTTTGGCTATATTATACCCAGAAGTAGAATTGCTGGATCATATGGTGGTTTTATGTTTAACTCTTTGAGGCACTGCCACATTATTTTACATTCCCACCAGCAGTGCACCAATGTTTCAACTTCTCCATATCCTCACCAACACTGTTCTTTGCTTTTATTAAAAATTTTAAGCCCTGGCTGGCGTAGTTCAGTGGATTGAGCGCGGGCTGCAAACCAGTGTTGCAGGTTCGATTCCTAGTCAGGGTACATGCCTGGGTTGCAGGCCATGACCCCCCAGCAACTACACATTGATGTTTCTCTCTCTCTCTCCCTTCCTTCCCTCTCTAAACATAAATAAATAAAATCTTTAAAAAATGTTTAAAAAAATTTTTTTTAAAAATATTTTTGATGGTAGCATTCTGATGCGTGGGAGGTGATGCCTCATTATGCTTTGATTTACATTTCCTTAATAATTAGTGATGTTGAGCATCTTTTCAGGTACTTATCGGTCCTTTGTATATCATCTAAGAGAAAAAAAATTCAATCCCAGTTTTTAAACCAGGTTGTTTGTTTTTTTTTTCTTGTGAAATACTTTATATTTTGCTTTTAACTCTCTAGTTTCTTAGAACATAAGGTGCGTGGAGAAAAAGTCTGATTTATTTTCTTTCACCGGGCATTTTTACCTTTGGGACAGTGTTTTGCACAAATTAGGTACTCAGTAAATGTTTGAAGGGAGTAAATGGACAAACTTAAGGTAATTTCCCAGTTACCAATTAGAACTTCTATATAAAAGGCCATGCTGACGAGTCAGTGGCTCCAGTTGCTATGCTAGGCCAAGGGCAAGCCGACATCGGGAGGGAATGCAGATAGCACGTTGGCAGACAGCAGAGTGGAGTGAAGTGCAGAGAAGTGCACAGAGCCCTTGGATGAGTCCACCTAGGGTGTCTGTACCAGGAGCCCCCTTATTTCCTGATGATTTCCAGTTCTAAGGCATCCACAGTCTTAAAATAAACCTCTTTTTCTGGAGGTGACTCAGAAATGAGCCTGTATTTTCCTTTTATACCAGGCGTTCTCTGGAATCCAAGGGATGGACTTTGATTCTGCGTAGCAGTACAGCATGCACAGCCCTGACTGAGACATTTGGTTTACCTTGACCAAGCGGTGATTTGTGAAGCCAAACAGAGTGTTTTATGGGTGTGTGCCTGATTTCCCATGGTAACCCATTAAGAATGCTTCTTCCTTATCCAGTATTGAACATCTTTTAGTATAATGACTTTAATGTACTCAGCATCGATTGAGCAGAGGTGCAATTTCTATGTACTTTTTCTGTTCTTTACTCAAAGGGGGCACTCCATATTTCTGACTAAAGTCCTTTTCCCATCCTACCTTCTCTCCTTCTTCCCCCTTATTCTTTAATTGGGTTAAAGGCTTTCCTATTCTTATTAAAATTTCACTTGGTGGGCCCTGGCTGGTGTGGCTTAGTGGATTGAGTGCTGGGCTGCTAACCAAGGGGCTGCTGGTTTGATTCCCAGTCAGGGCACAGGCCTGGGTTGTGGGCCAGGTCCTTAGTGGGGGGTGTGTGAGAGGCAACCACACATTGCTGTTTCTCTGCCTCTCCTCCTCCATTCCCCTCTGTCTAAAAGTAAATAAATAAAATCTTAAAAAAAATTTTTTTTTCACTTGGTGGGTGTGTAGTAAAAGCAAAGTGCTAGGGCAATAATTAGATATGTCGTAAGTTTTAGCAAAGCTCCCACTTGAGTTTTTAATGTTACTGGGCTCTGATGGTGAAGCAGAGAAGACAGAGACAGAGGAAATGGTCCAAGACCCAGAAGCATTGGGCCTGGCTTCCCTGACTTTATTGCTCATATAAATACGAGGGGAATGAAGGGCTCACCTCAAGACTCAGAGCTGGCCCTTGTCACCTTTACTTGACCAGTGAGTATGTCTAGGCTAGGACTCCAAATACTTATAAATAATTCGGATTCATCTCTCTGTTTTTAGTGTTTCAGCTGCCGCCAAAATAAGGTCCATGCTCTGAGATACAGATGAGATCAGTGGCCTTTGAAATAAGGATTGGGTGTGTGGTGGTACACACCCTAGGGCGGCACTAGATGGTTATATGTCTGAAGAAAATGTGATTTTCTTTTTTTTAGGTTAAAAAAAGGTACTAACAAATCAGCTTTATTGATAATAATATGTGGCTTGCCATTGGCACCCTCAGCCCTTATTTCTGGCATACTGACCAGAGACGGGGCTAGAAGGAATGGGTGCAGGAGGAGGGAGGCATGGAGTTCCACATGTCAGAAGAGCTAATGCTGGGTCTCTGACTCTTTTGTTTGCTTTTAGCTCATTATAAAACGTTGCCATTTACACGTACTTGTTAAATGGACTTATGGATTATACTTAGTTTTGATTAAACCAACTCTCATAAGGTGATGGCTTAAAGGGGTTCCTATTTAAAAAAAAAGGAACTGAAATAATAACAATAGTGTACACAGAAGCCACAACAATATGGCATTGCTTGGTCTGTGTGCTAGTCAAAGTTTTCCTTTGGCTACTTGATGAGTTAAAACAAGGATCACATCTGACAAGTTAAACAAATTTCAAAATTACCCACAGGCTATTATCATTAATCATGAATCTTGCCCTAGATGTATGTGGTATCTTCAAATAGGAGCTATGGCAATATGAAACAATTTTGGAATAGTGAGACTTTAAAAACTAAGAATCCTAAGTATGAGAATAAAAATCAACAGTTTTATTAGCAATTCAAAAACATGTAATATTCAAATCAGCTACTGTTTGAACTTTCGCAGAACCTACTGTTAGCTATCAAATAATAATAATTGTCTTTTGGTATTTGTTAGTAAAAGACAAAAAGTGCCAAGCCATTTGGGGAGCGTTTGTTTTCCTGCTGCAATAATATCGAGAAAATAACATAGCAACAATGAAAATATACATACATGTATATGGATGAGACCTGTAGACAACCTTGCTGGGATTTTCTAAGAAACAATTGGTTAAGCAAATTAGGAAAAATAGGGGACTTGTTACATATTTGGATGGAAGAGTATCTATTTCTAACATGTGCTAACTTATGGACCACACCAGTGATTTTCAATTGGTATGCCGCAAGAATTTTTACAACATGCAGTACCTGAGTAGTCAGAAGTACTGACATTTTACTTTAGATTGTCAAATAAAAAAGTGACTACAGCCACCTTGACCAGTGTGGCTCAGTTGGTTGGGCATTGTCCTGCAAAGCAAAAGTTTGCCCATTCAATTCCCAGTCAGAGCACATGCCTGGGCTGCGGATTCAGTCCCCAGTTGGGGGCTTGTTCAAGAGGCAACCGACTGATGTTTCTCTTGCACATCAGTGTTTCTCTCCCTCTCTTTCTTTTTCCCTCCTCATCTCTCTGAAAATAAATTGTAAAAATATTTAAAGAAATGACAACAGCTAATACAACAATAGCCATCTGGTGTGAATGAATCAAAATTATATCTGTTTTTTGGGTCAGATCGGCAAACAATATATTTTTGGTGTGCCACAGAATTTTAGTAAACAGTTTATGTG